GTCCATTCCACCAGGACCCCTATTAACCCTGGCAAACAAATCAATTCCACAGCAATCATTTCTACCATGTCAGCCAACGCATTTAGCCGCTTGACCTTGAAGTCTACTTTAGACCCTGGGGTCACTGACATGGACACTACTCCCCCTTGTAAAGCTGTTACTTTCACATCTTCCCCAAATGCCAAGATAAGCTCTTCCCCATTTCCCCAAATCCTGCACAATGCAAGCACACCTGCCTATATCCACCCATCCACATTTATTTTCCGCAGTCCCACCCAAAGTTTAAGCCATCTGTTTGGCCAAAATACCACTCCTATGCACAAATTTGGGACCCTTGATAAACATCAGCAGAGACATTCTCTCTGCGATGTCTCTGTTTTTATGCGCTGTCCCACCATGGCTTCTCCTGTGGTTTCCACGTTCATGAGCAGTGTGTCTGCAGCATCCAAGCCTGCCTTTAGCCCCAGTGCTATGGATACCACTCCTCCTTCACAGGCTCTTATCTTCCGATCTTCCCCTGTGTTCAGGAAAAACAACATTCCATTTTATATGAGGCTTCCTTATTCTGGGAACACGCTACCCAGTGGCAGTATACCCTCAGCCCAAGTCTCTACCAGTTGGCCTATGCAGTCAGTAGGGGGACCAACTGTAACTTCTAGCCATTCATTTAATCCAAGAGATCCCTCTCAGCCCACATTTGGAACCCTTGATGGGCAGCGACAGACTAGCAGAGCCTTCGTTCTGAGGAAACCAGCAAAAGCTAAAGGCTTAATGTCTGCAGCCCAGCTACCCCGTGGCAACAGAGCCTGAGCCCAAATCTCCACCAGTGTGCTTGCAAAATAAGTCAGGGGACCAACTGCAGCTTCTAACCATCTTTTTAATCCAGGCGCTCCCTCTAAGCCTACATTTTGAGCCCCTGATAGGCAGCAGCAGTCTAACAGCTCTTCCATTTTGAGAAACCCAGCAACCCCAGTGGGAGCTAAAGTCCCAACATCTACAGCCCAGCCACTGGTGGGCTGTAGATGATGCAATCAGGTTTTGCAGCTTTGACATTATATTCAGGATTTACCCAGTCAGCCTTTGGTAACAACTCACGCGATTTCCACATTGGCAAGGCCAAGACTTCTTGCTTTAGAGTTGCCACCAGGATGCCTGGCTCTGGGGAAAGTACCTCACCGGTTGCCAACACTACAGGTCCACTGGCGATAATGGGATCTGGAGCCCCTACAGATGGTGGGAGCACTGGGGTTGGCCTGTCTGCCCCAGGCCCCAGTTCCACATCAAAGGCACTCGATCTTGGAGCAGGACTGAGGGCAACACCCAGTACTACTGTTCCTCCATTAGGTGCAGTAGTCTGGGGCCTGAATGACCATAGTATGACTGCTGCAGCAGGAGACACCAGCAACATCTCTGCGTTTGTATATGCTTTCAGTACCACTTGCATTCATGGCACTGGGAACCCATCTGCCAAGAAAACAGGTGGTACCATGGGAGGAGATGGCACCAAACCCACGGTTGAAGGCCCCTGTGCTCCTGCTTTTCATCACTACACAATGTCTGTTTCGCAGTTCCAGCACAGCAACTGGGGCTCACCTGGACAAAGTTCAGGTAATACATCTGATGTGCATATCACTACGCCTTTGATGGGAGGCCCTCGTGTGCCCACCTACCAGCATAGCACTTGGTGCCCACCTACGCAACATACAGATGGCGCGATGGGCAACGGCAGTGTTCCTGCTATAACTGGATATACTCGTGGTCCCCCATCCTCAAAGAGCACCTGAGACCCACCTGGCTAAGCACAGATGGTGCAACAGGGAACAGCATCACACGTTTGTAGGGAGATCTCTAGTCTCCCTTTCACTAAAAACACCAGAAATTCACCCAGCTGGGGTGTTTCTTTTGACTTTAGAGTATCTAGCATTGTTAATGAAATACTTGTTTAGAGACTTCTGGTCAGTGCAGCTGTGCACTGGAAAGAATGCAGCCACTGAGGCACCCTCACACCTGCCAAGAAGGGCTTGATAGGAGCCACCATCCCATTTCTCACTCCAAACATGGATCTCTGCAAAAAAGGAGCCAGACTTCATCCACATATGGTCTCTATGAAGGGACATTGCTCCACGAGGAAGAGGCTTAGTCTCTTCAAGTTCAACTCAACCTGTGTTAATGAGCATGGGGCAGACAAGCCCAGTCACTGTATTTGAGATGCTCCACTGTAAAGCATAAAAGAGACCTGCATGTACCATCAGCTGTGCCCTCCTTGGCTTGACTTTTAACCTGACTGACCAAAGTTCTGAGTTAATTCTGTTGTCTCAAAACTGGCAGGATGCCCCCTGCTATTTACAAGTACTGTTTTTCCCCATTGCCTTAATGGGCCCTTACCTTTCTCACATTATTTAGATAAAAATGTTGTTGTGAATCTGCCAACAAACAAACAAACAAACAAGAAATCATTTAGTAAACAATCATATGTGAAAATTTACAGGAATTGCCAAGCCCTATCTCATAAAATTTAGCATTAAACTACAATGTTCAGATAACAGTATTCAGAACAACATTATCTATGGTCAAAAATCTCCACCCTGCAAGAAAAGAATTCCTCTACAGCGAATCTGTGTCATTCACCAATTTATCTACCATACTTTTGGTAGAAGTGAATTCATTTTTTCCAACAATAATGGAAGAAATATATATATTTTTTTCCTACTTTTTTGCCCTGGGAGCATTCCCAAAGCTAAGTCCTGGATCAATCCTCCTAGAAGAATAGAACTAAGAAACTTACTACACCACTCTGGGGAAGAAAAATATTAATAATAATTTCTTACAAATGGAATATATTGCTAGATATCCGTTTGTTTTGAAATCCACCCCTTGTCTCTTTGGAAATATTTTATCTTTCAAGTTCTATGGATAAAATATATTTTACATTTAATAAAAATCTAAGCTAAAATAAGTAAACAAATCCTTTCTGGATGACAAACTCAGGAAAACATAGGGATGAACACTGACACGTCTGACTCAAGTGTCAAGTCAGGCAATCCTATCACATTAGTCATCCTCCCCATTCCTGCTCAATGAAATGCTCAATAATCACACTCCCAGGAGACACTGTTCTGTGAACACTGTATGCCTGAAGTGCATTTTGCTTTGCAGATTCCTGTGCCACCTCACTGGGGTGGGTCTTCCTTGTCCTTTTGAAATAGTTTTTCTCCATTCACAAGTCTCAGAAAATCCAGAAAGAAGGAATCATTTCTGTCTTTTCTTCTCAATACCAGCACAAAACCAGATGACCATGAAGGCATCTCCAGGGAATGAAAACAGGGGCTGAGGGAAGAAAATCTTAATACGTCAATGATTTGTTTTTCAGATGATGGGTATACTAGGAGACTCCCTTTAGCCCCAGAGTATCCAGCTGCTCTCCTGACAGGCTCCACTCCATACCTCAGGCTGTCCTATGGTAAGAGATGACCCAGGGCTGATATTCACTAGACACTCCAAGAGACAAGGCCACTGTGGGCATCTTGGGTCATCCCCAGACAATTGTGAAACTCAGGACTAGGAAGACAGGAGTGTGGCCGAGGACACAACACCCTGTGAAGTTTGCAAAAGGGAACCTCAACCCAAAGACATTCTGGTAAGGGGTGTGCCTAAGGAAGATACAAGGAGGAAAGACACAGAGATTTCTTACGGTGGAGTGCCAGGGGATAATTCTCTGCTTTCCTCTCAAGTGCAATGTTCAGAAACAGAAAATAAACCGTTAGGAACCACTTACTGCTCCGTGAAGAAAAAAGATAAAACAATTAAAATACTGTGTCTGTTTGAAATGTACAATAAAGAACAAATGTTAATAATGCTTTCAACTGTAGAGGAGAAGCTGGTGTTGAGAACATGGAGAAGGAAATGGAAATTTAGGATTTTACTTCAAGCTCTAGAACTTAGGCTGGGGGAACAGGGCTTTGGATTACAGACTTTGCTTGCCATACATGAGGAAAATGCAAGGAAAACCAGTCCCCCTGTGGAGTGAGTGTTAAAATGATTAAACACAGGTACTCGGGAGGCTGAGGGGGGAGCACAGTTGGGAGTGCTTGAGCCCAGGAGTTGGAGATCCCATATCCAAAATAAATAAATATTTCTTTAAAATAACTAAATAGAAGACATTAGACCGAAGAAGCAGTAGTAACACCTTGATTCCGACCTAAGAAAACCCAAACGAACTCATACATTTCTTGTAAATTAATAAAGGTTAATAAAACGTAGCCTTTACCAACCACAAAGGACCAATTAATCTTTGGTTACATAACCAGGAAATTTCCATCTGGATAGACCAGATAAGGCGACTACATAACTGTCACCAATTACTGAATGTGTTTTGCTTCTTCCTGCGCCTTTTAAAAACCTTTCCTTCAAGTCCCTTCCGTGGACTCCAAACCACAATCCAGGGCTGGGGGCTTTAAGATCCAGAAATCTCCGTTTGCCTAATTAAATAAACTCTTTAACATTTTACTAGTGCCTCAGTTTAATTTTTAAAGGACAAAAGGAGGGACTGGGGACCCACGGACCACAGCTCTTCCCATGAACGAACCCCGCACACGAGCGGGATCCTCCCCGGGACCCTCCCGCCTTCCCCGCACACAAGTGGCATCCTCCAAGGGACGCTCCTGCTGTCCCCGCACACGAGCGGGGATCCTCCCCGGGACTCTTCTACAGTCCCCGCACACGAGTGGGATCCCTCCCGGGACCCTTCCGTCGTCCGGCACAAATCTGAGGGACAAGGGGCTGCGGGTTCAGAGGATTTTGGGAGGGAGGAGTCGCGCAGGGACAAGACAGGACGCTGGGGTCCCGGCTGCCGGCCCAGCCACACCCGAAGTCGGAAGGGACAGAGGGTCGAGCTGCCAGCGAAGAAGCGGGTTCAGACCCCGGGGCTGCCGGAGAGGCCTGGGTCCCGCCAGGCCATTTTCGCTAACCCTCCCTCCTCGGGTCGCCTGCTCCGCACTCACCATTTCCCGCTTCCGGGTGTCCCGGGCCCTCCTTAGGGTCTCCAGAACCTGCAGGTCACAGGGCGACAGATGCCAGGGAAGAGATAACTGGGCCTCCCAGAGTGAAAGAGAGCACGCAAAACAAGTAACCGACCAGGCTGACCAGCAAGGCCAAAGACAAAGGCCCCGCCAGATCCCGGAAGCCGCCCCCTCTTTTCCGGTTGTGCGCCTGGTCATACAAGTACCACCTCAGCGTTCCTGATTGGATGGAACCTCGGGCTCCGCCTTCCTAATGTCTGAGTGACAGGAAAAGCGATCAGACAAGGGACTGAAAGAGGTCAGAATGACAGATTTCTTTCCAATAGGGCTTCTTCCCTGTGCTGAGACCTGGAACCGCTTGGGGGTTATTTGCATTTAACCTTGTATATAAGTTTATATCCACTTATATATATAATATTTAAAATGAAAAGCAATATAATGACAATTATTTTAAAGTTTTAGATTTTATAACCTCCTAGCTTCTGACCAGGCAGCTTGAGTTTTAAAAAGGAAGGCAATCCTTTTAGTAATAATGTGCAATAGAAATAAAATGTGAGCCTCGTTCATCACTTTAACTGTTCTAATAGCAACATAAAAATAAAACCATTATATTGAAATACTTTATTTAACCTAATATGTCCAAAATATTATCTTTTTGATATGTGATCAATATACTATTAATGAAACTTTTTTCTGTATTTTTAGCTTACAGCACATCCAAATTCAGACAGCACAACTGGATGCACATGTCTAGTTTCCCTCTTATTTATGCTAAGGTTGGTCAATGGGTCTGCTCCCTTTATATAATTGTTTAGCATTTATTGATTAGAATTTCCCAATTTTATTTACCTCACTGAGGGTTGCAAATATAGCAGTTTTCTAATTATATTGTATTCTCTGCAGGTATTCTCATTCTTCTCTCAAAAATTGCATTTTCTGGCCGTGCATGGTGGCTCAATCTGTAATCCCAAGCACTTTGGGAGGCCGAGGCGAGAGGATTGCCTGAGTCCGGGGGTTTGAGACCAGCCTGGGCAACTTGGTGAGACCTTGTCTCTACAATAAATGACAAAAATTAGCAGGGCATGGTGGCGTGAGTCTATAGTTCCAGCTACTTGGAAGGCTGAGACGGAAGTATTGCCTAAGCCCAGCAGGTCGAGGCTGCGGTAGCCATGAGCATGTCACTGCAATTCCGCTTGGACGACAGAGTGAAACTCCAACTCAAAAAAAAAAATTGCATTTTCTCATGAGCTCTTCATTATATTAAAACTAGCCTGTCAGGAAAGAAAAGATAAAAGTTTGATTCTTCCTTGTACCGATTGTCATAATAATGATAGTATGACCCCACCAAGCAAAGAAAATAAGAGAATATTTTTCCTAACATTATTTTTTGTGTATTTGGTGGAAGTCTGTGTCTATTTTTGAGCTCAAGTTGTCCCCATTTTAGGTCAGTGAGGGACCCTTCACATTGCCTTCTTTGTCTTTGTACCATGAGACCATATGTTTTGAGAGTCTTCCTATTTTCTGGAACAAACAAACATTGTGTACTTCCTTTTTTCTGTTATATAATTTGCAAATATATGCCCCATTTGGCATTTTCTTTTTTTTTTTTTTTTTTTGAGTCAGAGTCTCACTCTCTCACCCAGGCTGGAGTGCAGTGGCATGCTCATGACCACAGCAATCCCAACCTGCTGGTCTCAGGTGATCCTTCTGCCTCAGCTTTCCAAGTAGCTGGAACTACAGGCACACGTCACCATGCCTGGCTAATTTTTTGATTTATTGTAGAGATGAGGTCTTGTCAAGTTGCACATACTGGTCTCAAACCCGTGGGCTCAGGCAATCCTCTCACCACAGCCTCCCGAAGTACTGGAATTATAGGTATGAACCACCATGCTTGGTCAGCATTTTCTTTTTTACTTGACTTACGGTGCCAAGATGTACAATATTCTGGTTTTCTATTGTGACTTTATCAATATTTTATACATTAATATTTCTGGGGTTAAGTCATAGGCCAGATTTATTCTCACAGCTTGTGGAAATATTTACTAGTGTTTTCTTCCATTATTTGTATGTTTTCAAGTTTTTACCACTTAGATTTCTCCTATATTTGTTCTTTATCTTACTACAGCATGTGAATAATGAATCAGTTTTCATCTTTTTTATAGGAATATCCAGTTCCCAAATACAAAGAATTAATAAAGGTTTTCCCTCTGTAGTTTTATCGTGTAACTTCTCCTACACACTTTGGTGTATTTCTGAATTTTCTATTGTCACAGTCTGTCTATTTTTGCATCAACACCACACTGCTTTAGAAGATTTAACAGTGTTTTAGTTTCTTGTAGAACCAGACACTTTCATTGTGTTTCTTCTCAGGTGATTTGGCTATTCTTATATGTATGTTTTTCCATGTGTACTTTGCAAAATCATGACTAGCTATTAAAAAAAAAACTGACAGAATCTATTATGAGATCAAACACTACATTGAAGTTAACTTAAGGATAAATAATCTTTAGTATGTTTTTCATGAGTATAAAAAAGACTGTTTTGTTAAGTTTGCAAACATCTGTCAATTCCTAATTTTGATGGTTTTAAATTAATAGTAATGCATGTTAAATTCTGCTAAATTGACATTTTCAAATGAAATGTATAGAGTTGCAATCAGACATTCAACTGAAAGAAAAATTTGACCATGTCTCTTTATTGAACTTTTATAAGACCTATCTTCCTAGAGAAGAATATCCCTTGCTTCACAATCACACCTTATTCATGACATTGCTTTTTGGCAGCACATACATTTGTGAGCAGCTGATGTCAATTATGAAGCACAAGAAGAGCAAAACTGGAACAACCATGTCTGATGAGCACTTTGAGAACCCACTAAGAAATGCAACCACTCTCATCAAACCAGACATTGATAGATAAGTTTTGCAAAAACAAGATCAAAATCAAATTTTCCATTAGTTTTATATTGTTCTCATTTTTCTAAACTTTATTATAAAAAATAAAAAAGTCTTATTATGTGTGTACACTAACTATATCATATAATGTATATATGGCCCAAGAGGATTTCTCTTTACTTGATGTGGTCTAGGGAAGCCAAAAGGTTGGACATCCTTGACTTAATCCATAGTGATGGCAGTTAATGTTTTCCCATGGTAAATTTATGATTTACATGAGATTTACAATCTCTGTGGTTGTCATTCTAAAATTAATTTCCTCTCCTTGAATCACAGACACCATTTTTAGGAAAATAAAAATATTGGTATAAAACTTCTAAGCATGTGATGATTAAATGATAATACAATGGTCAACTTGTGTACAGAAACCTTGTTTAAGTGGTAGTGAGTAGAATATGTATTTTCCCTAATGTTGGGTTTATGATGTGCTTAATAATGACAGTACTTGTTTTGACAGAAAACCTCTGTAGTCTGTTGATTATGCTGAGACTATTTTCCTTGTTCAAATAATGGAACATTTACAGAAAAAGCTATAAAGCAATTGCAGGTTTCAGATAATAGGGGAAAAAAAACCCCACAACTCAAGGTTTTCAACACTTTCTGCTTAAAAACTTGAGACAATCTGTTATTAAAAAACAAAATTTCAACAAATTTAAGGATATAATTGACTTTTTTTTTTTTTTTTTTGAGTTGGAGTCTCACTCTGTCGCCCAGACTGAAGTGCAGTGACCGCTCCCGTCACCGCAGCCTCGACCTGCTGGGCTCCGGCGATCCTTCCACCTCAGCCTTCCAAGTAGCTGGAACTACAGGCGTGCACTACCACGCACGGTTAATTTTTGATTTATTGTAGAGATGAGGTCTCGCCAAGTTGCCCAGGCAGGTCTCGAACCCACGGGCTCAGGCAATCCACTCACCTCAGCCTCCCAAAGGCACGGGATTACAGGCTGAGCCACCGAGCCTGGCTTATAATTGACTTTCATTAGTGATTTTTGAATTAGCAGCATTTCATCCAGCCTGTGGTTCTGTGATGACTTCATACAACTAAATGGAGGTGTTGGCCTCTGGGGAACTAGTTTCCTCCAGCAAGGCCAATCAGGTCCAGGAATTATACGGACCACCTTGCTAAGAGGTGTCTCAAATTCCCAAGAGGGGAGCGGCCAGGTGGGCAGAGTGATTTCTGTCCTGGACAGTCCCTGTCTAGAAGGTCTTTTTCTTTGTTCTGTGACACCGACACAGTGGGAGGCACACTATGGGAGGGTCCCCCTCGAAGCCCACTGTCTTAGACTGTATGATCAAAAACTCTGGGAAAGGTTATTCAGGAGATTATGATGTCAAGATGTCTCCAGGAAAGCTGAAGGTACTCCGTACAATAGAATAGCCGATGTTGAATAAGGAGTGGCCTCCAGAGGAAACTCTGGATGTGATCTAGATGAAGACCATGTACCAGGTGGTAATCGGGGAGTCAGGCCACCCAGATCAGTTTCCATATATAAATTCACAGCACAAATCGCATTAGCTCAGCCCCCTTGGATAAGGTTCCTAGCCAAGACTCCATCTCAACTGAGAAACTGAGACCAGGACCCTACCAAGGCTCCACTGATCTTCCAGGAAGACCCAGATGATGAGCCCCTGCTGATGCCACCTCCCTATGCCATACCTCTGGTATTGGAGGCCTGCCCTCTGCCAGACACTCCACTACTAACCGTGTCTCCACCACTGCCTGCAGAGCCAGATCAGATGGGAAGATGCCTCCACTCAGCCCAGAGTCAATGGCCTGCACTCCAGATGCCCTGCGTGAGACTAGAGGCCCTCAACACATGGCACAAGATGGCAGCATCCAGGGTGGACAATCTATCTTCTATTACCAGCCATTTGCCACCATGGATTTGCTTAATTGGAAGCATTATACTCCCTTCTACTCAGCAAAACCACAGGCTATAATAGACCTTGTAGAGTCCATCTGTCAGACTCATCTTCCCAGTCAGGGAGACTGCTGCCAGTTCCTCCTGACTCTTCTTAATACCGAGGAATGGTGACGAGTAATGACTGAGGACCAAAAGTGAATGATGGGGCATTCCCCAGGGGGGACTGCTGAATCCTGAGACCTGGGTCAGGGCTGCTCTGCCAGAAGAAGACCCCCATTG